GGCGGCCCCCCCCCCCCCCCCCCCCTTGTGACATGCTGGGCCAGCCATGACCCCACATCTCGGCGTGGCCGGCGCCGAAAGCCGATCCGTCGCTAGTACCTTGCTAGACAGGTCTGTGCGTCTATCTTGCGTGCCCGAAGGCTCCAATGATAGTCACCGGTCAACAGACCGCCCTTGCCGCCACTCTGCCTGCTGGTGTCCAGGCGAATCCTCCCTCTCCGTTCGCACATCCATATAGGCAACCCCTCGTGACACAATCGCTTTAAGCTGCTAGCTTTGATCTGAGTTGACGCCTCCTCGATTCTTGTCTTCTGGCAGTCGAAGCAACATGGCTTCCACACCACAGCTCTTTGACGTTCTCAGCTTCTCCGCCATTCAGGCAGCTTTTCCTTCGCCTCATCCGGCGATCGGAGCGGGTGCCAGGTCAAGCGGTTCGGGACATGCTTCGTCCGATCGATCTGCATCGTCTTCTCTTTCGGCTTCCGCAGCAACATCTGCTTCGCAACAAGAGCAATCAGGTCGGCGCCCCTCGCAGAATTCGAGCGAAGCACCAGCCAAGAAGCAGCGCAAACGCAAGCGTAACTTCTCCAGCGCCGATCGAGTCGTGCACAGCGTCATCGAGAAACAACGTCGGGAGGCATTCAATGAAAATCTGCAGGTACGTCGGCCACGCAGTGCTGGCTCAACTCCCGCTGGAGCCACCTCGCTGATATGATCTTGTGGTCTCTATCTCCGTTGCGATTGCAAAAGGCCCTCGCTGATCTCATTCCAGAATTGCAAGGTGTCCCGGCGTCACAGCTCTTCAAGACGGTGGTCGTCAATGCATCAGCATCGTACCATCAAAGGCAGTCCGGATTCGTCAAGGTCTGTCTCGACGAAATCGAAGGGTTACAGCGAAAGTGCCACGACCTCCAGCAAACGGTCTCGCTGCTATCCGGATGCGCGCAAACGACGAGCGAGGATCTGAGTTCGAGCAATTTCAAGCGCGTCCAGGGCGAGTTGTGCAAAGATCGCA